TAGTGACGTTTGTGTCTTGTTGACAACGTGTAGGTGGATGAATGCACTTTGACCGTTCAGACTGAAGTCACATGTCAAAAGATCAGATATCTATCAGTTTCAGGAGCACATATCCAAGTGTCCTGGGTCACATTTGAAAAAATTGATCTGTGTGTTCAGACTGACATTAAAAGATCAGATACAGGAACAGAAGAAACATAGAAGCCAAAAAATTGGATTGCATTCAGATAAACACAATGGACGTTTCTCATACACTTTTATGGAACGGTGGCGGTTAAAAAAAAAAAACACACACATGAGGTTATGTTTAAGGTACAATTGACTCACCCAGTAACTTGTTCTCTGCATTTGACCCACGCTTCAGTGTCAGGAGCAGAGGGAACATCTCCAGCTGGTCTTGGTCAGGACGAAAATCACTGGAGGATCGTGACGTTTACCTTGAGATTCGACATAAACCAGTGTATTAAATCGGGCGATATTGGCACTTTTTTGTAGGGATGCACTGATGCAAAACTAGTATCGGATATCAGTGTCGGTATTGAAAATATTGATGGATTTAATATCAGTTATAAATGATTGTAATAAAAGTATTTACTGGGTGATATGCTCCAAAACACCTCATATCATTGAACTTTTGTATCGTTTCAAAGCTGTTCCATTGTTCATTTCTTTGTTAATTTGGGACGGTAGAAAAAAAGGGGTGGGGTTAAATAAGTATTTACTTCCTCCCACGCCTTTTTCGGACACAAGGAAAATTCTGCGTAACATTTATTTTGCCTGTTATTAATAGAATAAAAATAATTACTTTTTGTGTTATATCTATGTATTTACATTTTTTTATTTTTTATTTATGTTCTGTGTATTACTGTCTGAATAAATAAATATTCATTCAATTTGAACGATAAATAACAACACTTTTGCGTTATATTTAACCATATGCCATTTGTGTTTCAAGAAAAAAATATTTACCGTGAGATGCACATCGTGATAATATCGTACAGAGAGATTTGGATTTCGTCACATCCCTAAGTATCGGTATTGGTTTTGAAATAGAAAAAGCTACATTTTAGTGCCTTGACTGTCTTAAAGGTTGTATAGAGGATTTTTTTAAGGGAAGAGAAATACAGCGACAGTCCTTGTGCGCGTTCAGAATTACTGTTGAAGTTTCCTGTCTAGAAGTAATTCAGCGACCGACGCGTCAGTTTTTAGACCCTTCGTCTGCTTCGGTCGCGCCATCGCTGGACGAGATCTCCAAGAATCACGTCAGTTTGGCTTTGCTCCTTTTTCTCTTCTCTTCTTCTTTCAGCGACCTCAAAAACGGACTTTCTTTTGCGGCGAACCGGTCGTGGATTCTCGTCCGCCGTCGCGACAAACTTTGTGCGAAATGCGAGGAAGCGACAGTTCGAAAAAGCCTCTTAAGAACCGCTGCGTAAACCACGTAATCCCCGCGCTCCGACGAGTCAGTTACACTACGGAGTTTGATTGACAACCTAACAGCCAATAGAAAATGAGGGAGCCTCGTTTTCTATTGGCTGATGTTTATCTGGCCTCAACACGTCCACAGTTGATAGATTTTCGTTCTTTTTTTTTTGGTCATCATAATTACAAAGCTGCTGCGTCTCTGTAATGGTATTTTAATCTTTCACTGACAGTTTGAAACAAAAAAAAAATCCTCCATACAACCTTTAAATCTCCAATAGGCTGATTTTTATTTGGGCCAAATCTGCATAAAAGTTTATTTGAACCGTTTTTAAGAGGCGGTCGCTGCACCACATGTGACCGCGCTGCTCTGTCATCATTTTTTATTTAACAGGCTGTGGAGTTTGGACTGAGTTTTGAATCAGATCATTTAAGTCTATTCATCAAAATAGGACTAAAAATATCATTGGTTCTGATCATATCGGCGTCGACCATGAAAAATCGATCTCAAATCAATGCAGATGTTTGACTTTTTGCGTATTTCTTTTCTCTGGTTCACGTTTTTGTTGTTGTTGTTGTTGTCTGTTCGGCATGAAAACGGTTAAAAACAGGTTCGGCCAAATGAAGCACATGTTCCCCAGTGTTTCCTGAAAGAGAAAAACAGACTTGTGATCCCAGAGTGATGTAACAGAGGGAGGAGGAAGAGGAGGAAGAGGAGGGAGAGGAGGAGAGGAAGAGAGGAGGGAGAGGAGGAGAGGAAGAGGAGGGAGAGGAGAGAGGAGGAGAGGAGAGAGGAGAGGAGAGGAGAGGAGAGGAGGGAGAGGAGGAGGAGAGGAGGAGGAGGGAGGAGGAGGAGAGGAGGAGGAGAGAGGAGAGGAGGAGGAGGAGGAGGAGAGGAGGAGAGAGGAGAGGAGAGGAGAGGAGGAGGAGAGGAGGGAGAGGAGGAGGAGAGGAGGAAGAGGAGAGGAGAGAGAGGGAGAGAGGGAGAGAGGAGGAAGAGGAGAGGAGAGGAGGAGAGAGGAGGAGAGGAGAGGAGGAGGAGGGAGGAGGAGGAGGAGAGGGAGGAGGAGGAGGAGGAGGAGAGGAAGGAGAGAGGAGGAGAGAGGAGAGGAGAGAGGAGGAGAGGAGAGAGGAGAGGAGGAGGAGGAGAGGAGGAAGAGGAGAGAGGAGGAGGAGAGGAGAGGGAGGAGGAGGAGAGGAAGAGGAGGAGGAGGAGGAGGAGGAGGAAGAGGAGGAGGAAGAGGAGAGGAGAGGAGAGGAGGAGAAGGAGAGGAGAGAGGAGAGAGGAGAGGAGAGGAGGAAGAGGAGAGGAGAGAGGAGGAGGAAGAGGAGGAGGAGAGGAAGAGAGGAGGAGGAGGAGGAGAGGAGGAGGAGGAGGGAGAGGAGTAGAGGAAGAGAGAGAGAGGAGGAGGAGGAGAGGAGGAGAGGAGGAAGAGAGGAGGAGGAGGAGAGGAGGAAGAGGAGGAGAGGAGGCTTCCGACTTCTGATGGGATATTTGTGTGTTTACGGCTTCCTGCGGGAAAGAGTGGGCTGACGGAGAGAAGGAGGGAGGAGAGAGAGAGAGAGAGAGAGAGAGAGAGAGAGAGAGAGGCTGACAGACAGAAAGAGAGTCCGAGAGAGGAAGGAGAAAGAAGGAGAGAGAGAGTAAGGAGAGAGAGAGAGGAAAAGTAGAGAGCTGAAGAGAGAGGGACTTGATAGAGAACAGAAGGAGAGAGAAAGAGAGAGGAAGGAGAGAGAGAGCGAGAGAGAGAGGGGGGTGAAAGACAGAGGGGGCGAGAGAGAGAGAGACAAGAAGGAGAAAGAGAGGAGGACAGAGAGAGAGAGAAGAAGCAGAGAGAAGAAACAGAGAGGAGCTTGACAGAGAGAGCGGAAGGAGAGAGAAAGAGGGAGAGTGACAGAAATGGAGAGAGAGGAAGAAGAGAGAGAGAGAGAGAGAGAGGAGGCTGACAGACAGAAAGAGCGAGGGGGCGACAGAGGAAGGAGAAAGAAGGAGAGAGAGAGGAGAAGTAGAGAGATGAAGAGAGAGGGGCTTGATAGAGAACAGAAGGAGAGAGAAAGAGAGAGGACGGAGAGAGAAAGAAGGACAGAGAGAGAGAGAACAGAAGCAGAGAGAAGAAACAGAGAGGAGCTTGACAGAGAGAGCGGGAGGAGAGAAAAAGAGGGAGAGTGACAGAAATAGAGAGAGAGGAAGAGGAGACAGAGAGAGAGAGGAGGCTGACAGACAGAAAGAGCGAGGGGGCGAGAGAGGAAGGAGAAAGAAGGAGAGAGAGAGGAGAAGTAGAGAGATGAAGAGAGAGGGAAGAACAGAAGGAGAGAGAAAGAGAGAAGGAGAGAGAAAGGAAGGGGAGAGAGAGAGAGAGAGAGAGGAAGGAGAAAGAGAGAAGGACAAACAGACAGAGAGAGAGAGAACAGAAGCAGAGAGAAGAAAAAGAGAGGAGCTTGACAGAGAGAGCAGGAGGAGAGAGAAAGAGGGAGGGTGACAGAAATAGAGAGAGAGAGGAAGAAGAGAGAGAGAGAGAGAGAAAGAGAGGAGGCTGACAGACAGAAAGAACAAGGGGGCGAGAGAGGAAGGAGAAAGGAGGAGAGAGAGAGGAGAAGTAGAGAGATGAAGAGAGAGGGGCTTGATAGAGAACAGAAGGAGAGAGAAAGAGAGAAAGAAGGAGAGAGAAAGGAAGGGGAGAGAGAGAGAGAGGAAGGAGAAAGAGAGAAGGACAAACAGACAGAGAGAGAGAGAACAGAAGCAGAGAGAAGAAAAAGAGAGGAGCTTGACAGAGAGAGCGCAGGAGGAGAGAGAAAGAGGGAGGGTGACAGAAATAGAGAGAGAGGAAGAAGAGAGAGAGAGAGAGAGGAGGCTGACAGACAGAAAGAGCGAGGGGGCAAGAGAGGAAGGAGAAAGAAGGAGAGAGAGAGGAGAAGTAGAGAGATGAAGAGAGAGGGCTTGATAGAGAACAGAAGGAGAGAGAAAGAGAGAGGGAAGGGAGAGAGAGAGAGATTAAGGAGAAAGAGAGAAGGACAAACAGACAGAGAGAGAGAGAGAGAGAGAGAAGAGAGAGAGAAGAAACAGAGGAGCTTGACAGAGAGAGCGGAGGAGAGAGAAAGAGGGAGGGTGACAGAAATAGAGAGAGAGGAAGAAGAGAGAGGGAGAGAGAGAGAGAGAGAGGAGGCTGACAGACAGAAAGAACAAGGGGGCGAGAGAGGAAGGAGAAAGAAGGAGAGAGAGAGGAGAAGTAGAGAGATGAAGAGAGAGGGGCTTGATAGAGAACAGAAGGAGAGAGAAAGAGAGAGAGAGAGAGAGAAGAGAGAGGAGAGAGAGAACAGAAGCAGAGAGAAGAAACAGAGAGGAGCTTGACAGAGAGAGCGGGAGGAGAGAGAAAGAGGGAGGGTGACAGAGAGAGAGAGTTGAGGGGGTGAGAGAGGAAGGAGAAAGAAGGAGAGAGAGAGGAGAAGTAGAGAGATGAAGAGAGAGGGGCTTGATAGAGAACAGAAGGAGAGAGAAAGGAAGGGGGAGAGAGAAAGAGAGAGAGGAGAGAGAAAGAGAGAGAGAGAGAGAGAGAGGACAGAGAGAGAGAGAGAGAGAGAGAGAGCAGAAGCAGAGAGAAGAAACAGAGAGGAGCTTGACAGAGAGAGCGGAAGTAGAGAAAAAGAGGGAGGGTGACAGAAATAGAGAGAGAGAGAGAAGAAGGGGGGGAGTGACAGACGGAGGAGGCACGAGAAGGCGCTCGACCATGTGAGTAACTCTGTGACTATGCAGCGTGTGGACCGCAGGAACTTTTCACAAGTGGATCTGAAGCGCGCGCCTCCGGACTTTTTACTCTCTCGGATTCCAATCTTTTTTTTGGGAGGATGTTTCCGTCGCGATGGATTTTCTCTCAGGATTTAGGATTTTCTAAACTCTGATCTTTGAAGGATTCCCCCCCCCCCCAGCCCCCGGTTCTCCGCTCATAACCGCCTCTGGTATTTCCTGCTTTTGATGCGTCCGGAGAGATGAGCGTTCTGCGCTGGCACCGGCTCTCCGTGCTGTGGAAGAACTGGATGTTTAACCAGGAGCCGCCGCCGGAGGAGCAGACGACGGGCATTTCCAAATCCGAAGTCGCCCTGGAGAAGCTGGAGGGCGCGGAGATCGACCCGGACTCGACGGCGGGAAATCCCAAAAAGAAGGCAGAGCTGCTGAAGAGGAGCACGTCCGAACCGGCGTCCAGCTGTAAGGCGGTGAGGCAGAGGGGTTGCGGGTGCGATTCCAGGAGGAGTTGGTGTTCCGAGGAGGAGTTTGACCTGTCCTCCGCGCTCACACAGGTGCTGGGAAGCCTTACGAACTCTTACAGTTTTTTGTTTAGTTTTCGGCAACACTTTATAATAACTACACCTTATTTAGCCTTAATAAAGCATGAACAAAGACTTAATTAATAACGATTCACACTACTTAATTACTACCTGAATTAGCACTTAACTTGCACTTAATTCGCCTGTGCTGTAAACAGTTACTCATAAGTATTTCTTACTTAATTACTCATGAACTAACCATTTGTGTGTGCATTTGTAAATGTATATTTAAGTGCACATTTGAGCATTTATTAATGATTATTAAGCCATGAGAGAATGATTTACTAGTAATGCATTATTGTTTCTCTGGAATTTGACCAACCTTAACAAATGCTTAATAAACATAATTCGTCTTCACTTTAGAAAAACTCTCAGAAAGACTTAAAGGTTGTATGGAGGATTTTTTTTTGTTTCAAACTGTCAGTGAAAGATTAAAATACCATTACAGAGACGCAGCAGCTTTGTAATTATGATGACCAAAAAAAAAAGAACGAAAATCTATCAACTGTGGACGTGTTGAGGCCAGATAAACATCAGCCAATAGAAAACGAGGCTCCCTCATTTTCTATTGGCTGTTAGGTTGTCAGTCAAACTCCCTAGTATAACTCGTCGGAGCGCGGGGATTACGTGGTTTACGCAGCGGTTCTTAGAGGCTTTTTCGAACTGTCGCTTCCTCGCATTTCGCACAAAGTTTGTCGCGACGGCGGACGAGAATCCACGACCGGTTCGCCGCAAAAGAAAGTCCGTTTTTGAGGTCGCTGAAAGAAGAAGAGAAGAGGAAAAGGAGCAAAGCCAAACTGAGGTGATTCTTGGAGATCTCGTCCAGCGATGGCGCGACCGAAGCAGACGAAGGGTCTAAAAACTGACGCGTCGGTCGCTGAATTACTTCTAGACAGGAAACTTCAACAGTAATTCTGAACGCGCACAAGGACTGTCGCTGTATTTCTCTTCCCTTAAAAAAATCCTCTATACAACCTTTAACTAACAGAAAACAGCTGCCTGAATGATCATTGCATTGCATTATTAGTAAATCATTCTCTCATAGTTTACTAATCATTAATAAATGCTCAAATGTGAACTTAAATATGTATTTGTAAACATGCAAATTGTTAGTTCATGAGTAATTAAGAAGTATTGAGTTACTATTTACAGCACAGGTGAATTAAGTGCAAGTTAAGTGCTAATTCAGGTAGTAATTAAGTAGTTACTAAGCGTGAATCATTATTAATTAAGTCTTTGTTCATGCTTTATTAAGGCTAAATAAGGTGTAGTTATTATAAAGTGTTACCTAGTTTTCTACGTATTGACAGATCGGGTTTAGTCTTTTTTTACTTGAATTTATTCTTTGCGATTCGGTTCAGTGATGATTATTCTCGCGGCTCTTTGGGTTCATTCTGGTGAAATCCAACTTTACGAGAGACGTACCAATAACGCCTCCCGATATTATCCTTCCCTTTTGCGATATATCGGTTTATTTTATCATTTTAAAGCTTTGTTTTGTTGGAGAATAGTAGTTTTAGTCACACTGCATAATGATCTGATTTGAATATTACTGGAATAATCAGGTTATGTTTTGGATCGACAGTGTTGGGAAGGTGATTTTTAAAATGTAATCCCCTACAGATTACAGATTACACACCTCAAAATGTAGTTTGTAACGTAATCCATTAAATTACTTAAAGTGAGTAATGTAATCTGAATACTTTGGATTACTTGATATTGTCATGTTTTTTTCAAAACTACAGTTAAGTCCTGGTTTAGACCTGGTTTAGTCCTGGTTTAGTCCTGCTTTTAGTCCTGGTTTTAGTCCTGGTTTAATCCTGGTTTAGTACTGGTTTAGTCCTGGTTTAGTCCTGGTTTAGTCCTGCTTTTAGTCCTGGTTTTAGTCCTGGTTTAATCCTGGTTTAGTACTGGTTTAGTCCTGGTTTAGTCCTGGTTTAGTCCTGGTTTAGTCCTGGTTTAGTCCTGGTTTTAGTCCTGGTTTTAGTCCTGGTTTTAGACCTGCTTTAGTCCTAGTTTAATCCTGGTTTTAGTCCTGGTTTTAGTCCTGGTTTTAGTCCTGGTTTTAGTCCTGGTTTAGTCCTGGTTTAGTCCTTTTTAGTCCTGGTTTAGTCCTGTTTTAGTTTAGTCCTGGTTTTAGTCCTGGTTTAGTCCTGGTTTTAGTCCTGGTTTAGTCCTGGTTTTAGACCTGCTTTAGGTCCTAGTTTAATCCTGGTTTTAGTCCTGGTTTTAGTCCTGGTTTTAGTCCTGTTTTAGTCCTGGTTTTAGTCCTTAGTCCTGGTTTAGTCCTGGTTTAGTCCTGGTTTTAGTCCTGGTTTAGTCCTGGTTTAGTTCTGTTTTTTGTTCTGTTTTTTGTCCTGGTTTATCCTAAAATGTGAAAACAGGAAAATCCCTCTGTGTAATCCATTTATTTCAACAAAGTAACTGTAATCCAATTACCACTCACTGAAACAGTAACTGTAACTGAATACAGTTACTCATTATTTGTACTCTGATTACTTAACTCCGGTACATGTAATCTGTTACTCCCCAACACTGTTGATCGATCACAAATCGTCATTCAGTCATTCGGTTCCTTCTTTTCTTCTTACAATCTTTTTTTGTTTTGTTTTAGTTTGTGAATATAAACAGGACAGACTCTCTTAGTGCCGTTTGACAGAAACAAAAGTCCAGTTTCTTTCTCCAAACTCGTCCGGCTGCTCCAAACCACATGACAGACGACGAGCTGTGGACGTCTCCATTAAACAGACTCCAGCTGATTTGAAATGAGTGACTTTCAATTATCAAATGATTCTCAAAGTAGCGTCTGACTCATCACACAGTTCTGCAGTGATCAACAGCTTTTTTTGTTGTTTTTGTTGTCATATTTAGAGCTGCTCGATTATGGAAAACAATCATTATCAGGATTATTTTGGTCAATATTGAAATCACGATTATTCAAATTATTATTTTTTCAGTTACATGATGCATTTACTCAAGATTTATCTCTCAAAAAAAAAACAAAAAAGACACTTTGTTATTGATAATTTACGTAAAACTTTCAAATTGAAAATAAATATAGGCTACAAATATAAACCTTAGAGCAGTTTTGTGATGTATAAAACGAAAATGAAATGAATAAAATCTACTTTGAACATGAATTAAGACAGAAAACATAAACGTTTCCAAAATAAACTATATATCCATCTGTTCTACAATAAAAAAATGAAAAATAAAATAAATATTCTTATTTAAATATCCCAAAACCTAAGCTTTAGGACACACTCATACTAACAGAACCCGGCCATGGCCAATGACGTCATCACACTGAGCTGTTTGTTTACATGCTGCGCAGCAGAGCTTAACGCTTTAATGGAGAAAATAAGTCCAGCGGCAGAAATATCTGGGTCCAGTCAAGTGTTAACGGAGGGAAACAGGGGCAGATTTTTGACATTCAAATGTCTCTTATTCAGAAACTAGAGGAACTATTGAAATAAGTAAAGTATCAGAATGTAGGAAAGAGTTACACTCCAACAGGGTCAAGTTAAACCTGTGATATTCTTTCAAGTTGTTGACAAAAAAAATTAAAAAACTCATGTTGGTAACGGAGGGAATGAAATATGCAGCACTTTTTGGGCAATAAATCCAAACAGTGATAACTCTTGGTTCTCACTTACATATCCTTAACAAACTGGTTTGAATATTTGCTTCATATAGTTTTCTACCATATGGTACAAGATTAGGATGAAAAACCTCTTACTTTTTGACTCATGAGATTTTTTATTAAGAAAGGTCATGGTAACGGAGGGAAAAGTGAGGGAAAATTGTGCAAACAAGTAGAAGGTGCAGGATTTTACATCATTTGTCGCTTTTTTCTTCTGAAATACTTTAATATTACTTCAAAATGAAAGGAAACTATTTCTATAAAATATGTCAGTCCTTCCAAGCAAATTTTTATCATTTTAAATACTTTTTTTTTTTAAAATCATGTACCTTCATCAACAGTTCAAAGATGGAATAACACAAGATATGATGAAATACATCCATTTATTTACATGATTTGCAGGTCTTTGAAATTTGGGAAATAATTTTTGTTCCATGTTTCATACATGGTCTGTTTAAAACATATGGAACTTTAGAAGCAAAAATGGTCCAGAAAAAAGGTCAACAGTTTGATAAACTAGAGTACATATGTATCTGTTCAATACATTTTTATATCAGATGCATTAACTTGTATTTTTGGCCTTGTTGTTTACTTCTGCTTGACTGAACCCACAGGAAGTTCATTTTAATATTCGTGAGGAAATGATAATATCTTTTGTGATTTGTCAGTGGGTGTCAGTTCACTTTTCTATCTGAGGTAAAAAGGAAAGGAAATGTCACATGTGAGGGAACACTTTAGACCTGATCACCAAGATTAAACAATAATAATGCATTAACTTGAATTTTTGGCCTTGTTGTTTACTTCTGCTTGACCGGGCCCATCTGTTAAATAGGCAGATATGATTCCTGCTGTGATTCTCTCCTCTGTGAGTTTATGGATATAATCAGTACCATAGCTCCTCATTATGCACATTTCGCATGTTTCACACAGCACGTCGAGCTTGTGAGGGAACCACATGAATCCTCACAATACTACAGTTGTCACACCCTGGTCCGCACTTTCTCTGACACGTAAATTGTTTCAACTGGATTATGAGTTTGCGATTGTGATTTATGTGTTAAAGGATCTCCAATCAAAATTCAATTACCTGCACAACCTTAATCACAATACATATTATCATACAAATAAACTATGTCCTTAGTCCAACCAATGGGAATGTGTTAAGATAAGATAATCCTTTATTGTCTCCCATGGGAGAAATTTGTCTTGGGACAGGGGGGTAACATGTTTATCAAAAAACAGGACGACACAACACAAAGCAGCACATAAACAAAGTAAATATGAGACCAGTATGACCACGAGTGATTAAAATCCAAACTGACCTGAAAAGTTGTGGCTAAAAGAGTGAAAGTGAAAATGGTTGTTCTTGCTCTACCTTAAGAACGATAAGCGATAATGGGACCATTTTATTTAAAGGTACATTGTGTAACTTGCATGATTCCAGAGAAACAAGATGAACAAATATTATAATATAAGAATTATTTATGGCAAACTGTATTGATTTGTGTAACTCCTGATACCATTATAACGGCCAATTATGTTTTAAGTTTGGACACGTTGACGTCATTGTTATTAAAAGCCCGTGTTGCTGCTGGGAAATATTTTGGTCTCAGGCAAGAAACACGGTAGCGTCAAACACAGTGCGTAACCTCGCGTATTTATCCTTTACGCGTCGGTCGCTGAATTACTTCTAGACAGGAAACTTCAACAGTAATTCTGAATGCGCAGAAGGACTGTCGCTGTATTTCTCTTCCCTTAAAAAAATCCTCTATACAACCTTTAAGTTACGCATCGCTTTCCCCCTTCCCCCTTTGCTGTGAGATGTTTGTGATACTGAACGTTGCGCCCCCCGCAGGTGGAGAACGGCAGCGAGGCGGACGAGACCTTCCTCCAGAGAGAAGAGTCCCAGAGGAGGTCCAGGAGGAGGTTCAGGAGAATCAACCCCAAAGGAGAGAGAGAGCTCATCACCGACGCCCCGGAGCCCAACTCCTACACCACGGTAAGAAAACGCGAAAAGCACGACTAGTCCATGTTTAAACGGTTTGCAGTGGTCCATCTGAGCATCCGAATCGTTCACCCTGATGAGTTTATAAGAGCTTGACGAGAAGAAAAATCAGTTTGGTTTGGTTGAAGACCTTTTGTAGCTCATCCAAGTTGCTTCTTCAGTTCGGGGAGCTTTATAGGAGCTTTACTCTAGAGCAGAGTCTTGCTGCGATGGTAAAACAGGAGTATCCACATTTTGTTTTCATCAAGGGACCTTTAGGAAAACACAGATGGAGCGGAGGGATGATTGAGGGCCGTAGACTGATGGTAAATAATTCAGGTCTGTGCTACAGGTTAGAATGAGCCAACAGACGTTTATTCGAGCTTAGATCCTCATCAGGAAACACTCGATATGTGAGATTGGCTTTGTCAGGGTCAATTTTCAAACACTTAGGCTATGTGAGTGATGATGAGTTCATTAACAATTTTCACCTACTTCAGCGCAGAATAGTGACGTTTGTGTCTTGTTGATAACGTGTAGGTGGATGAATGCACTTTGGCCGTTCAGACTGAAGTCGCATGTCAAAAGATCAGATATGTATCAGTTTCATGTTTATGTATCTAATCTTTTAATGACAGTCTGAACGACACAGATCCGATTTTTTCAAATGTGACCCAGGACACTTGGATATGTGCTCCTGAAACTGATACATATCTGATCTTTTGACATGTGACTTCAGTCTGAACGGCCAAAGTGCATTCATCCACCTACACGTTATCAACAAGACACAAACGTCACTATTCTGCGCTGAAGTAGGTGAAAATTGTTAATGAACTCCATGTCACTGAAGTGAAGCACATCTCCACTCACCACTCTTGGCTCCGTCTCCACATCCACACGTTCCTTTCAACGGACGTCGCTGCCGCTGTCCCACAAAACACCACGACCAAAAACCTCGTCCTTCTCCTTCTCAATCTCCTCCTTAAAACAAGTAAGTTGTTCATGTTCTGGCTCCGGTACGAGAGGAACTTTAAAATCTCCAGGTGCTCGATGCTGCGTCCATGTTTGGACAACTTCTGTAAACACAGAGACGCTCGCTGCGGTTGACGTCGTCGTGTCTCCAGTGTCACATGTGGGACACTTTCAGACCATTTAATTTTCACACTGGAGTCACATACAAGTCACATTTAATTGAAAATGTGAACGACCTCACAAAAACATCGGATTTCACAAAAAAATCTGAATTGAGCGTTAAGCCCTGCAGTCTGAACGTAGACTCAGAGCTGCATTTGGACATGCCTGAGGTAAAGCTACAGCGACTAACATTCTAACGGTGCAGTTCTTGATTCTCAGACAATAAAACACTTGAGAATCAGATGCAGACAGTACACAGCTGATTCATTTTGACCTTAAGAGCTGCTTATACAATACATTTGTACTTGGTCATGGTGTTAATCATATGATATAGAACAGTAGATCTTATCTTGACTACCGCTGTTTATTGGAACGAATGCGTGAACAAAGCTGCCGTCTTGATACAGGGTAACACAGGGTAACACACTAAATGACTGAACAAACATCAGGGACAAGGCAATGTACAGAATTAAAGTGGCCTACCTTAAAGTTTTATTTTCTTAGTTTGTTACGAATGTTAGACGTGTATTTAGAACCAAGCCTCAAATAAAGTGATAGAGAAGAAGTTTTTGTTAACATAGCTGACTTTTACTTTCAAAATGTAGTGGACATTATTCCATTTTTCACATTCTTCCATTCAAGGAAAATACTTTTTCACATTTAATATCAAAGACGAACATCCATTTACATGTAACAGACCATTTGCTTGTTTACATAAGAGCTAGAGACAGTGATGCGATACACAGGTGTGCAGAGGTGGGACCAAGTCATTGTTTTGCAAGTCTCAAGTCTTTGACCTCAAGTCCAAGTCCCAATTCGAGTCTCGAGTCACTGGCCTATAAGTCCAAGTCAAGTCCAAGTCGTCGGCTTTGAGCTTCAAGTCATTAAACAAGTCTTTAAGTCTTTACACCAAAGTACCAAATATAGTTTAGATTTTTACAGTTTATATGACTTTTTAGATAAATTGTACTCCTAAATCATAGTTTATTTATATATGAGTATTTATAGAGTATGTAAGAGTTGTAGAAGTGTAATTTTTTCTTTTTTAAATGTCTTGACAAGATTTTAGGTCGAATCATTACGGTCAGAATAGAAAGAATTCAGATAAGTGCTTCTCAAGTCTTCTCAAGTCACAGGGCTCGAGTCCGAATCAAGTCCCAAGTCACTGACCTTCAAGTCCAAGTCGAGTCCCAAGTCCTAGTCCATTTTATCAAGTCAAGTCTCAAGTCCTAAAAACAGTGACTCGAGTCTGACTTGCAGGTGTGAGTACAGAAGCTGCTCGTAAAAGAACTATGTACAGCGCACTCTCTATACAATATATGACCACTGTCCGATGAAAACCACTATGTTCGTTTTTTCTGATTTAGAGTTTTTCTGGCAGCCGTAATGTCTGGGTTTGCGTCCGTGCATACTATTTAAGTTGAGTATTTGGGGCTCTGTGTCTAGTATTAATATTTTTGTAACAACGCTCTCTTACACAGCTTCTTCCTCAAACTGTTGCGCTGTAGTTTTAGAGTTTGCACTTTCGCCGCATAAAACATACGACACGAAGAAAATACGAAATTGTAGGAAACTGACGCAAAAGTCTGGCATCTCTGCTTGTCGATACTGTTGAAAAAGCGCGGTCAGTGGCTACTTGTGGCCTACTGTTCGATATCTCCGTGGTGTTTTTTCTCACAGTAATAGTGACACTACAATATGATCTCAGTGCTTCCCCGGTAGAGCCCGACCGATATGGATTTTGTTGTGGCCGATATTAAACCGATATAATGGGAGTTGGAGCTGCCGATAGCCGATATAATCACTGATATATTTAGTGATGTAAAAATTCACTGTAAATCTTGAATTGTTTAAAAAACTTAGGTTTGGCTCTGGTGGATTCTAAATTGGCTTTATTTAGGCAACATTTATTTTTATTTTAACTCTTTACATCATATTTACTTACAGTAAATTGGCCTAATGGCATTTTTGCATCACATTCTAGCTGGTAGTGATGGGTATTCCAGTTTTTTTTTTTTTTTTTTTGGAGAACCGGCTCTTTTGGCTCGGCTCACTAAAGCAGCTGGCTCTTTCGGCTCCCAAGCGGCTCTTGATTGTTTTGTTGCAACCAGGACTAAACCAAAACTGAACCAGGACTGAGTGTCGGGACTCGGTTTCTATCTCTCTCCTTCACTCGAGCCCAAGATTAGTCCTGGTTTATTCATTTTATGCTGAACTGCAGCCAAATATGCACTTTTTTTTATCCTATGCACACGCAGATTTCTGAAAGTTTCGTTTTCAGCCGCTGCCGCTGTCAAACTACGGGTCGACATGCAGCATGAAGAGAAAAAGGGAGAAAAAGAGAAAGCAAGGCTCCCAATAAGAAGCAGGCTCCCGTTGTTCGCTTCTAAGAGCCGCTTCGATCGCGACCGACCCATAACTCCTAGCTAGTAAACTATCGCTATTAGCCTTTAGCCGTAAATGCTGCGCACCGCGGTAATTAATTATATGCATAAATGTGGATCATTCACACGTCTATTCACAGCTCATTTACATCAATGCATGGTCCAGTAACAAATATACGGCCAATATAATCACTTTACAATAGACCAATAGAAAACAGTCTGTTTATGTGCGGGAGCTACAGCAGCTAATCGCTAACAAAACCTAAACTAGCTTCAAAGTCGATGTATTTCCAACACTCAGCGTCACACAGGCTCCTCCCACATCACAAGTCTGAACTAATAAATGTCCTTTTAATCCAGACTCAAACCGATTGTCCGAAAAAGAAAATAATCTCAGTGTTGCGCACGGCTGCAGGTGTAAACAAACACACACGAGTGAAGTGACGTCACTCTGTGGTGTGTTCAGGGACAGTACGGACACAGACAAATGACTCCGCAGATAAATACTGATGCGGAGCCACATATTAGGACATTTATCTGTCTGTAAATTGGATTAAATGAGAGTCTAAGCTTTATAACGAGGTATAACATGCCCACGTGAAATATCGGCCCATATCAGCAAACCGATATCGGCCAATATGTCTCCAGGTGCCCATATCGGCCAATAATATCGACCAGCCGATATATCGGTCGGGCTCTAATCCCCAGTATGCCAAAAATGCGCCGAGTGTGTGTGTTTGAGCTGTACTAAAGCGAGAAACATCAAAAACAGCAGATAACATTACAGTAACTTTACTACGGGTGATTGATTTGGGAAAACGACCTTTGCGAATTGCAGTTTTTCTGACAAACATTGTGATTGTGATTAGATTGGGATTTATGTTTTAATAATAGGATTCTGTTCAAAGTTTAGATTTTAAAGACATCCAGAAGAATTGACAAAAAGACTGAAAACTTGAGCTGATAAACTAACGCAAGAATCACATTTCAGAGCGTGTTTGTACAGATCTGCAGCCTTTGTGATTTGCTGATTGCGTCCATTCAAGTTGCGATACGATACAAGATATTTCAGATTAATAGCTCAGTCCCATATTGTTTACGGCTTGTTTCAAAGTTCAGTTATTTATTTTGAGGCAACAAACAAGAATTTCCATCGAATTCACTCTGGGTTTAAATTTTGGAAGTGGTTGTGTTGTGAAAATGACCATGTTTTTATGGTGTGGACAAACCCAGGCTCATGCGTTCAGTAACAATAGCTCACATAACTCTTTTTCCTTCCTGTCTCTGGCGCACAAAGCCCAAAGGAAAACAGGTTTGTAGTCTCTCTATATGTTTTCGAATGTGTCCAAACAAAACACATTTCTGTTTTATTCTATTCAACGATACAGAAAAATACATGGACAACATAATTAGTCAATGATTCTTTTCCGTATGAAACAAGATTGATATAATTTGGTTAAATTCATATCAAGATGAATTGAATTGAATGAATTGGGT